AGAGGCAGCTTTATGGAGTAATAGGAAGATCATGGAGAAAATTGCTACAATTACAATGAAATTAAAATAATAAATAAACCTCCTCCATTGCTTAAAGGAAAAAGTCCCAGCTTTTCAGTTAAGCACTGTTAGTCTCTGGTCTCAACCAACTTTTCCAGCATTAAAGACTACTATTCCTCTATACCAGGGATTGGAGGCTCAGATTCCCCGCTGGGGTATGGTTGTGCCTATATACTGAACCCTCTGCTATCGGAGCTGCTAGGAGAGGCTGGAGTAGCTGGGGCCATTTAGTGTGGTCATTCTAGCCACAAGCAGCTTTATCCTTTTACACCCATGTAAGGTACAAGATACACAAGGATGCAAGGGCAAGGAAGGTAATGTGAACGTGTATGACTGGCCAAGTTGGGGGTGGGGGCAAAATGGAGAGTGAATATTCTATCTAAAGAGAGCTGCTGCTACTGCTACTACTACAACACTAGCTTTGTCAAAATGATTATTGCCATGCACGGATCATGTAACCAGGTCTTCTGATTTTTTTTTTTCCTCCCAGAGCATGAGGGAAGAAATACTTATTATTGTACACATACAGTCTCCTAATCTTTATCTTTTGCTAGTTATTTCAGATATTTTAAAATCACATTGTAAAAACCAAAGAAAACCATTTTCATTTATGATTTGTTTCATAAAAAACATTTATGTCTAAGAACATAAATTTTTTTTATGTTGATCTTTTTAATGTTGATTTTTTATGGTGATTTTTTTATGTTGATTTTTTTTATGTTGATTTTTTATGGTGATTTTTGTTATTTTTGCTCTCAGGACCCCTTTACACTCATAAAAGTTGTTGAGGACCTCAGAGCTTTTGTGTACATAAAATTTACTATTTTAGAAATTAAAACTGAGAAAAGCTTACTATTAATTCATATTAAAATATCAATCTATTATGTTTGAATAACATATTTTATGAAAAATACATTTTCTGAAACAAAATGGTGAGAAGAGTACACTGCTTTACATTCTTGCAAGTCTTGACTGTCTGCCATGTTAGAGGAGAGCTAGAGTCTCCAATGTGCTTCTGAAGGTTTGCATTCTGTTGCGGTAAGTTGTTCTGGTTGAAGTTTGTGAAGAAAATCTGGCTTTACACAGATAATAATTTAGAAAAGGGAGGCGTATTTTAACTGATAATCAGATAATAATGGATATTCTTTTTAATGCTATACCCAAACTTAACAGATGGTAATTTCTTAAAGATTAGTTGCGATGTGGAATTCGGAATCTCATCAGTTATTCTATAGTGGTGTCAATGACCTTTTCATATTATGATGCATTAAAATCCATTAATGTTTCTTGCTTTTTGAATGGATCTTTTACCCATGCATGATTTTGTAACACTGTGCATTGGTAATTTGAAAAGATTTCTTTTTAAATGCTTGAAGAATGTCTACTATAAGAAAAAGTTGAATTTGTTAATATCACCACTCATATACAAGCCTTTAAGTATTGAGAAGATATCAAGTTCACAGTGGTAGAAACAGGTTTTTCAAAGTTTAGATTTTTACTTGAAAATTCCATACTAATCATTGTCAACAGATACATTTGTTTTCCTTAGAGCAACAGGCTCACTTTTTTTCTCAGACAACATCTGTTAAATACTGAAGTCTGAATAATTCTAGTTTGTAGTTTGTTAGTTTTCCTTTAAAATAAAAATTGCATTCCATGGGAAAAATCAGTTGAGCTGTAACTCATTTTGCACTAGTTGTTAGCAATAGCATACTCTGGATATATCGCAGAAGTACTTTATATGTACTTATTATGTTAGAATTAAGCATAAATCAAGGTTTGAGATTTTATAAAATTAGATTTAATCTTTTCGTCAAGAACATAATTCTAAAAGAAACTGGCTTGGCTTCTGTTTAAAACAGTGAGTGTGTGTCTTTGTGACTAATACAATGAATTACACAACTTGGTGCTGCTGCCTTGATTTGTGCTAAGATGCAGCAGTTTCAATATTGTTTTGCATCATTGGTGCAAATGTGACTACAGTACAAAAGGCAAATAATATCTGAGTATTATTATTTTTTTATTTGAGGACCTTCCTCCCTTTTTTCAGAGGGGCCCTGGGGACCCCAAGGATCAATGGACCATATTTGAAGAACTGCTAGCAAGGCAGAAAGACCACTGGATTTAAGAGTTAGAAGACTTAAATTGTGAAGCCTGTACACCATTCTGTCTTCTTATGATGTGCTTCATTTCTCTGAACTTCAGTGATTTCATTTATAAAATACGTTGGGGGGAAAAAAAAATCTTGATTTTTGCTTTTTTGTTGCTTGAATTACAATTGATAAATTAGGAAAAGGTGAAGTGTAAGTTGTTGCTATTTTTAAATTAGTTTTGGCTGTAGCCCATTTGTTTTACTTTTCAGTCATGATACAGTAAACATTCTAGAAATTTTCAAATAAGGAATTTAATACAGGGGAGATTAGGTTCTTTTAAAAAATCACAGGAAGTACTGGAGGAAAGCTCTAGCTCAGCCTTCTGAAATGACTCCCCCATCATTGCAGGACTGATCAGTTAGGGAAGCTGCTGCTTCTGTCACAGTTAGGAAAGCGGCCTCTAGGACTACTGAGTTCAAGAACATACTTCTATAGCTGCAGCCCAGGAAACAGGAAGCCAGGATTAGGTAATTGCCACTGAGCTATGCCTGGAAATTGGAATGCAAAGTTTAGTTGCCATTTATATTCCATCTCTTGACATTCTTAAAGCTGGAAATTGGAGCCTGGAATACTACTGTGGAACAACTTAAATCTTTTCAATCACACTAGAGAAAACAGCCAAAGGCAACAGGGTAATGGCTTCCCCCCATCACTCTGCCTTCCGTATCTCATGTTAGTGCATTCTAACGGATGAAGCCTAAATTTCATCCAAAACCCTAACTGCCAGTGAATAAGGAAGATAGTTTTTCTGTTTTTTTTTTTTTTTTTTTAAATGTTTAGTTTCTATAGTTGAAGACAGTAAACTTAGGAGAATGAGATAATGGAATCTGACTGCTGATTAATGGCGTACCTAAACCTTGTTTTTCTGCTTCTCTGTGATTTTCAAATTGTTTCCACTTTTCATTATCCTTTCATTACTTACCTAAGTTCTAGCCATTTTAATAACCAAGATAGCTTTCATATTTATGAGGCATTCCATACCTTTTTTTCCTCGCTGCTTCATCAGTATTTATGCTCAACTGTCCAGTTCTGGGTTACACTCATCTTCAGCTGTGGTCTGGGTGGACTTGGATTTTGTAACCAGACTTATGAAACCTTTGGCCTGCTGTTGTCTGTAAAGTGATTCACCATTTCAATTACTATATTATATAAATCTTTCACATTTTACTTGCTTGAATTTTTTGGGGGGCTCTACTTAATATACTTTTGTGAAGTTTTATTATAATCTCTAAAGACATTAAAAAAAGCACCACCACTTCCTTCCATGATCAGGTATTCTTTCTAATATTTTAAGTCTTCTTACAAGCTACTATCTGGAGAACGTGTGGAGAAAAATAGAAGTAGACTCTGGAAAACATCAATATATATTACTTTTTTTCATTTTCTAGCATCTATGTAAAACCTTATAGCCATATGGTAAAATAAAGCCACCTATCCTCCATCCTCTATCCTCTTTGTTTTTTTTTTTCCCTCTTCTAAAGTTGTGTGATTACAAAGAAAACATTTTTAACATGTCTAAAATACACCAGCCTGGGCAACAAGCAAAACTTTGTATCTACAAAATATTAAAAAGAAAATTAGCCAAGTGGCGCATGCCTGTAGTCCTGGTTACTCTGGAGGTTGGGGTGGGAGGATCACTGGAGCTCAGGAGTTTGAGATTGCAGTGAGCTATGATCATGCCACTGCCCTCTAGCCTGGGTGACACAGTGAGACCCTGTCTCTAAAAACTAAAATACAAATAAGTAAAGTGAAGGCAAAACATGTCCAAAATACAAATAAGCGTAATCCCAACCATGCAAAGATAATAACAGATAGTTTCTGTTTCTGATTGTATTGTTCTGATCATAATCACCTGTTACCACTTCCCTACTTAGTATACTATGGTTTCTATCATTGTTTAAATGATAATGGGAGTATTTATCATTGGCATTGTCTGGGGGAAATTGACCAATATATATTGGGAAATTGGATTAAAAGTCATTTTTATTGAAGGCAGTATTAGTTGTAACCTTTATTCTTTGGAAAAAGAATTAATACTTAATAACATCAAGGCCATTGTTTTCTGTTAGAAGAGGGCAGTTTCATTCACTTGTATATTTCTTCATTTTTGTGAAATGAGAATCTTGTTTTAAATTAAAAGGACTGTATATTTATTAAATAATTCAGATTGTGTAGAAGTATTTAAATAGAAAATAAAAGATTCTTATACTTCCTCCTCCTATAACTTTTTTCCTCAGAGTTAACCACTGTTAATAGTTTGGCACATTCTTCCAGAATTTAGAAAATGTGTATGTAAATGTACATCTGTGGTCAGTTTCTGAAGCATCAATTTTTGAGGGCAAATTGTTAATTACTGTAATTTGATAATGTCTAGATGGTAGTAGTATGGACAGAATGTAATGTGTATGTAGTTGGGTTAACTTCAGAAAGCAGAAATGTAAATGTTTAATTGTATTGATTTCAGTTTTTGTTGATAAACTGTTCTCAGCAGTCTCTCTGCTTATTAGCTTTTAATAAGAGACCTCGTAGTAAATATGGAGATTCTTCTGCAGTGAAATATATTTCTACTTACTGCTTTAGGTATATTTTATCAAAAAATCATTGAGTTACTGAGTATAACCAGTTAAAAATGTGTTTGCATTTATTTTTAGATAGGCTTTTAGAAATACAAAATTAGTTGGTACTGACTGGTTTGAATAGTATTATTGGATATAACATCTCCATAATAAGAATTACTTTTCATTTTGTTTTACTTTTAATTTTGAGAAAGATAGTTTTGCTTTTCAGATGTGATTGATCTCACTGGAGATGATAAAGATGATCTTCAGAGAGCAATTGCCTTGAGTTTGGCCGAATCAAACAGGGCATTCAGGGAGACTGGAATAACTGATGAGGAACAAGCCATTAGCAGGTAAAAACATAATTTGTATAAAGCAGATATAAGTACTTTTAAAAATAGAAATCATTAATTGGGTTAAATTAATTTTAAGAGGTAATAAGATATACTTTGTTACTCTAAACTAGTAATATGCTTGTGTATTTTTAAATTTTATGTAATGAAAATCTTCATATTTAGTTTTGATTGCAATTGGGTTTACATTTTTAAGATTTTGGGTTGGTGGTATGAGGGATTACATTTAGGTACATATTTTAATATTTTTTTCATTTTTTTTCGTCCTCTAATCTTTTTTGGATGCACTGTTCAATTTAGAACAATTTATAGCAAGGGTTAGCATCCTTTTTCTGTAAAGGGCTAATAGTAAATATTTTTGGCTTTGTTGGCTATAGGGTTTCTGTTATAGCTATTCAGCTCTGGTGCCATAATGCAAAAGCAGCCATAGCTAATACATAATATAATGAGCTTGGCTGTATCCTAATAAATCTTGGTGTACAAAGGCAGCTAGTTGAATTTGTCCCCTCGGCTGTGGTTTGCCGACCTCTGATCTATAGTATGATAATATGTTTATATATTTTTTTCAAATAAATGGGCAGGGCTCCAAGATGTGTGCTAGAATGCTGTTTTTAATTTAATAACTAAAACTTTTTAGTTTGAAACAGTTCGATTCATCTAAGGACTAAAAAATACATTTGGTTTTCATAATACCTCTAAAAATGGAGATACAATAATTTAATAAACCATTAAATTATAACTAACTGTAATCCTCCAAAGAACTATTTGAAGGCAGTGGTAACTCTATGTTACTACAGAAGAAATTTAGCTTGTAAGAGGTTAAATGCTTTTTCCAAAGGCACACAGTTCAGATGCATCTTACGACTTTAATGCTGTGTTCCTTTAACATAGTCCTTTGGTAACAGAATGTACCAAATTTCTCAGGTAATTTTTCTTGGCGCAATATCAATAGGATATTTCTTTCCGAGTAATCAAAGATTACTATATGGTAGGAAATGTTTCAAAATGCTATATTTAGCAAAGGTATATAATTTTTTATCTTAGTGCAACTTTTTAATGTCTTTAAATGTTACTTTGGAAACTACTTTGTAAGACATTATATTATGTAAAGACTTAATTAAAATCTATTGTCTGCTGGGTGCAGTGGCTCAAGCCTGTAATCCCAGCACTTTGGGAGGCCAAGGCGGGTGGAACACGAGGTCAGGAGATCGAGACCATCCTGGCTTACATGGTGAAACCCTGTCTCTACTAAAAATACAAAAAAATTAGCCGGGCGTGGTGGCAGCGCCTGTAGTCCCAGCTGTTCAGGAGGCTGAGGCAGGAGAATGAGATGAACCCGGGAGGCGGAGCTTGCAGGGAGCCGAGATTGCGCCACTGTACTCCAGCCTGAGTGACAGAGCGAGACTCCGTCTCAAAAAAAAAAAAAAAAAAAAACTGTTGTCCCCCTCATTAGTTGTGGCTAATATTTATTGCCAGGAATTTTAAATGAAAACCAAAAAATACGTAGTTAGGCTTGTTTTCTGAAGCATTTGAGAAATTCTATGAATTGGGCTTTTTCTTTTTCTTTTTACAATGTGTATTGCAGTACATAATTGTCTTGAATAATTATAAAACTTGATAATACTTAAACTTTGAGAAATATTTTAAATACAAAACACATGAGTTGGATTTCATATGTAAGGGACATGATTTTATGTGAAAAGGGTTATGAAAAGAATGTATACTTGATACAAATATTATTTTTAGAATTTTACTTTTGTTTATATGAATTTATATGAGCATATGAATATAAAATGTATGTGAGCTTATATACCCAATTAGTATCAGTAGTTCTATTATGTGTTTTCTAATTAAAACAACATGTACTAATTATATAATAAAAGTAAGATAATATAAAAAGGGATGAAGACTGTTCCTAATTTGATACTCAGTTCAATGTATATGTTATATTATTGTTTTGGATAGTTGTTTTTATCCAAAATGGCAAAACAAAATCTCTTCAGATAATGCTTTTTTTCATTCTAGGTCTTTTACATTTTAATATAATTTAAAAATAGTAAATATTTAGTAGATATTATTATTGTAGATGACAGAGAGATTTGGCATAGTGTAACATGCCATAAAACTATACTCCCTAGAAGTAAAAGAGTCATATTAATTATGTGTAAATTCAGTAACCCATAATGAACAAATGGATGTTCAATGCAAAATATGCGTTTAATAAACTCATATGTCAATCATGTTGTATTCAAAAAAGAGGATGTGGAGAGTTCTAGCGAAACATTATCAGAGATATATTTGCTCCTATGGGTTTATTAAGGTATAGAAATCTAAATTCAAAAGAGAAAATGATGCATTTTAAAGGAAGACATTTATATATTATACTAAAAGTAAATTAACTCCTTCTTCATTACTAAAGTTCATATAGGGAAAATCTTTGCAAATAAAATTCCAGAATCATTTGCTTGTTATATTTTAGTAGACATAATTTAATGTGAAGTTACACGTTAGGATACTACATTGTGTATAAGTAGATGAGATAAAGCCTACCGTTTTACATCTTAGAATCCTGTGTTTAGACATTTATATATTTCGTGATAAAATTTTTTAAGTAGAACGTTTTTAAAGTATTTGTATACTTTTTAGTGTCAGAATTGGATGTATTTATTATCTCTTGATTGTCACTTCCAGGACACAAGTGGAATATGGACAGTTGAAATTTGTTAATAAACTACATTGTGACTGGTTTGTGTCTAAGGTATATTTCTTGTGAAAATGGCTTGCCTCATGAAATAACTTTGAAGTGCTTCATTAGAAGATAGTGCTAAGTTTTCTAGCTAAAATTGTTACAAAGAGCATGCACCTTCAATGGTAGACTGCAGATTCTCTTTTTTCCTCATTACTTCTGTGTTTCAGCTAGTTATTTCTTATTATCTTCAGCCTGGAGTTGCCATTGGGGAAAGAAAGAAGGATCGTGTCCAGGAATAGTCAGGGTGGAATTCTGAATTGTTAAAATAGGTCTGTATAACGCCTGCATTTTTTATCCTTATCATTACTGAGGAAGCAGTGTGAAAGGGAACTGCCTAAAGACGGTGTGTGAAACAGGAGTGGATGAGGGAGGCAGAGTTAGAAATCTTTTAAAATTGATCTTTAAGGAGGATTTCAGTGCTCAGTAATGCCAGATACTTGTGGATGCTAAGGAGCATGGAAGGGCCATCGAATAACCATCAAGTTGCATTATGTCAGATTATAGATGGCCTGGAAAAGTAAGAAATATGACACAGATTAGTTTCCGGGGCCACAAGGTTGTGACTGTAGGTGACTGATGAACAGCGACAGTGCAGCTTGAAAAAGTATCAGCAACAGTGAGGTACCGCTGATAACCCCAGGAAGAGGGGTCAACTGGCCGATGTAATCAGTCTGTCCGGGTGGCAGGAGCCACACCCCATGTAGTCAGATACACAGGTCAGCTTTTGGTAGGAATCACATGTCTAACAAGTTGTGGTAGCCTCTGTGTTAGAAACATCGAGTTCCTTAATGTGTACTCTGCATATGTTTGCGGATGTGATTCCGTTTTGGGTATTAAGATTGTGGCAGGGGTGGTGGTCTGGGTTGTGCAAGTTTGATCAAAAGCTTTATTCTGTTCATCTCATTGAATAACACATTAGAGCATTCATCCATCGCAGTGGCTAAAATTAAAAAGACTGATGGGAAGTGATGTCAGCAAGATCACCGACTGGAGTTGCTTGGCTGTGATCCCCCTCGCGAAAAGGAACCAGAACAATAAATAAGTTTATTTTGTCTGGAGTGACTGAGGAAATGCACTGGAGAGCACCAGGAGAACGGCAAAGTCCCTGTGGAGCATGGAGTCAAGAATAGCTCCACAAGGAGGAGAGCAAAGTATCCTGTGTCTGCCATACTGTCTCCCCTGCCAGGATTGAATCAGAGCTGGGGGTTCTTCTTCTAGGAAGGAAGGTAAGCTGGGAATCATGAGAACGAACTCATCACTGCCACAGATGCCAGCAGTCACTGCTACAAGAGTGTTCCCCAGTCCTCACAGGTCCCAAGTCCAGCATAAACAGTTGCTGAAAGTACATGTGGCTGCATTCCCCCAGAGCAGGAACCTCTTTGACACTCTGCATCCCTGCAACCCGAGCAGCTGAGGGATGGCACAACTGTGAAACCAAGCCCACATCTGGAGTGCTTCTGACCTGGAGGCCAGTAGCCACTCTGTATCCCAGAGGCATTGCCTTCATTCCGCAAAGTCCACACAAGTGCCTCTAGCATTAATACTTTGGCTACTTGGAGCCTAGGCTCAAAGTTACTACTGGGGTCCTGATGCCTAAACCCACAAGGCTCCCTATTACCCAGGGAAGCAGGTGGGCCTGCATGGCAGGGCAGCCCCATGCAGCCATCAGGCTAGTGTACACCTGTCCCTGGCTCAGTAGCTGGCCTGGAGGTGGCCCCACCCCAAGGGAGAGAGTAGTGTACAGCCAGTGGGCCTGCATGAACTTGCTCCCAGCTTGAACAGCTGGCCCAAAGGTTGTCTGCTTGTATCACTGGAGGATTCTGCACAGCTGCTGGGCCACAATTGCCTGCCTTTAGTCCAGTAGCTGGGTTGGAGGCGTTCTACCCACAGCTCAACCCTACGTCACCAGAGTCATGCACAGCCTCCAGACCTGCATGCATCCACCCCAGCCTGATAGCCAGCCCGGCGGTAACCCTGCCATTCAGGAAGGACCATCGTACAACCTTTCTGGCCTGCTGCATCAGCATGTGCCTGGCCAGCAACCAGCCTGTTGCCCCCAACTCCAGAAAAACCATGCCACCACAGTCATGGTCTCCTGCATACTAGGTCACTGAGATAATCGCGGACATCGCAGGTGAGGATTCCAGCTGAAAAATGTGTATGGAGACCTCACTACTGAGTCCACCCTGAACCAAAGCCAACACACCATTTCCAGTCAGCACCCTAGGACCCATCAACAGGAAAAAGCCTC